GGTTACAGTAACCCGCGGTCTGTGGCTCTGCAGACGCATCCCGCCAAACCAAACCAACTACGACCAGAGGGAGCGTCAGCTCCACCGCTGCAAAGGTGAATTCAACTTCTTACTGCTTCATGAGGAATGACCTTTCTATAAAAGCTGGGTTTTGACAACAAATCCCAAATACACATCTTCCCACACAGCCTGGGAAGTGTAACACATCTCAGCCAGTAAAGCACTTCCGTTATTTGGGCTGCTTTTAAATCCTTCCCTGTGATTTTTTTAAAAAAAACAACCTATGGATTCTGCACGGGACAAACTTTGGCTTTGGTCACATTAAAATGCTGGGGCATTAAAATGGAAATGGTGGAATCATGGTTTGGACTTAAAGAGTCTTGTTCATCATTAGAAAACTTTTCCTTACAGAAAGGTGAATCAACAAAATGTAGATTTGGAGAGGCTCTTCAGAGGTTACCCAGTCCCAATACTTAAATACTCTGTGGCCTCCTAGGATCCCAGGCATGACGTCTGTAATGTCTGCAGAAAAAGATAACTAACAAAGACAAGCTTTTTTTTACCATATGGTGACCTGCACTTCCACCAGATGATGTTTAAACTTTCATAAATCAGAGAGACTGTAAGCCACGTTCTCTTCATTTGAGGTCAGATCCAGTGGGAACACTATTCTCTGATTTTTACAATTTTCAGCTATGTCCCCCAAACCAAGAACAACGTGGGAAAAAAACAGCAAAGTATTTTTTGAGGTTTCCGCAATTTTAAGCTACTTTTAGTCTTACTCCAAACGTACAAACTCAAACATCCTACAACCATTTGCAAGCAGTTCTCTGTAGGCACTGATTTCAGTGGGAATCACTGCTTCGGGGTTTATAGTTTGATGTAAATCCATCTATTAGCACATTTCAGTTCTTGATCTGAAAGTGCAACGAAGCCGGCAGTCACCTCCGAACAGCACAGTATATGAAAACTAAACCGTCCATGTGGTGTGGAGTGGTGGCTCCAAAGCTGTGTGGACCTCCTGGACGCCGAGAGCTGGGCACGGCAGGCAGGAGGCTGCTCCTCCAGCTTGGTCACGGCTCCCATCTGTGCCACCTGGGGAGGGCAGACATCCACCGGCTGCAACGGTTGGAAGCCTTTGTGCAAAAATGCAGCTCTTTCTACTGCAAACCTCAAAAATGAGCCAGTTCCAGAGCTGAATTTTGGAGGAACAGACAAATGTGGTCTCTTCCAGTCACACACAGAGCCGCGTTTCTCAGGTCCTCTCTCACGCTAACTCATGCCACCGCGGTGACTGCCGCTTTGTGTTTGCCCCGGTGCTGTTTTATACACCTCAACAAACATCACCACTAAGCTGCTGCAAGATCACTACACCACTGTTCAATATTTAGATGTCATTCTAAAAATACTCACTTATGTGTGTAACGAACAAAGAAACAGCATCACGATGTGGCAGCAGGAGACTTTTCTCGGGACTTTTGGGGTATTGGTAGGTACTGTTGAACTCACCTTTCCTACGGGATGCAATATGCTATCTCTGATAGAGTTTTCATCTCAAAAGGGTTTTATCACCAGAAAGGTATCTCTTCTGAACACTGATGAAAATGGTGCTATCTAAAGAAGATACCCAGAAATGAACGCCAACATGAAATAGGACTACTAGACCCGAGCTACAGAAAAGTGACTATACCCCTTTTTTTTTTTAATTGGCTTGTGATTCCCAAATGGGGGTCCTTTGAGAGCAGGTATTTGGATCAGTTTATATAATTGGCAAGTGAGCGTGGGGACAGATTATGAAAGGATGGTCAAATAATTTGTGCTCTGCTGAGTTTACACAGTGGAATGAGTCTGAACTAAAGACAGACTTGAGAATTAACACGAATCCCAAAGCTCCATGTATACTGAAATAATTAGTGTCAGCTCAGCAAGGCAGTACCAGCCTTTTTAGTCTTTATGAAATATTTGCTGGCAGGTGACTAGACAGTGACTAGCTTGCTTGTCACTCTTGATGATGTTTTCCTACATTAGAATAAATCATCAACATGCCTCTGAATTTGGTATGTAGAATTTCAAAAGCGTCTTGCAACAACAATTTTTTTTTTTTAAACAAGTTGACGATGCATTCTCATGACCTTAATTTCTCTGGTGTTGTTTAAATACGTTGTACATGTTTTCTGCTGTTTAAAAGCTGTGAGACAAATGCAGTAACAAAGTCTGGTGAGCACAAATGCCAGAACTATTCACATCTCTGACTGAAACATCCAAGAACATCTCTGGAATAACAGCAACAACTAACCGCGAGCCCCGGAAAACTCTCCTGTACTTCCAAGTTTGCAAGGATCTAAAGTTCAACTGAAAAGCAGAATGTGATACCAAATTAAATGAATTCTAAAGTACAGCTTCTAATTCTGTTTCTGCTGAATAACAGTTTTCACTGAGAAAACAGCCCCTCCTTCCCCCCCCGCCTTCCTGGCCGTATGCTTTCCAGAAGCTCAGGCAGAGATTTTCTAAAGAGAAAATATTCTTCCGCCTTTTGTAGTGCCACCAGGACACAACCTGTCCGCAGGCCTGCCCACAGCCCAATCGAGCCCCTCTGATGCTTCTGCTTTAGCGTGGTTTCCCTCCTGCTGCTTTTGTGACGTGCCATCACCCTCTTACACGTGGCAAAAGGCTGACGGGTGTTCGCGGCAAACCCGGGAAGCCGGAGCGTGAAACACGTGCCCAGTGGAAAATGAAATCCACTCTCCATTCTGAAACGGAGACATTTCTAATTTGTTACGAGAGGATCAAACACCAAGCATGGAACATGTGAGCATGGTCTTTGGCAACAGAGAGACAATTAAACGAGATATAAAACAGTCAGGTAATTTAGGAATTATGCCTGTCTATTACTTTAGGACATTGATGAACTAGAGAAATACAGCTGAATCAAAACAGATGAAAACCTTCAAGTTCAAGGAGAAAACGTGATTACAAAGTGTGGGATGAAGAAAAACAACAGGAGAAGAGACCGTGCTGTGTTTGGTCCGAGTTGCCCCGTGTCTCTTCCAATGGGTCTGTGGCCGTAACTGCACCGTCGGTGTGCACAGCGCCAACGGGGGCAGACCATAATGCAGCCAACGCATCTTCTGTGAGTAAGATGCTTTTTTCTCTGAAACGTGCCTGAAATCTACCCTACAGTTCCCCTTGCCACTCTTCGGGATTTTTTGGGGGGCTATCGGTCAAAGCCAATAAAAAACATACTGAAGTCAACTGGAAAGCTTTCACTGAGATGACAGGTCAAGCTCTCAGAAAGCAACGCGAGGCTGAAGGAGGCGCAGTCTCAGCTGTAAGTACTGTGCAAAGATCTTTCTTCTCAAAGGTTCTCCACAGAAGGCGTAGGGCTTTCTTGAAGTCCACATCAGTGACTTCAGCGGCACCTTACAGGAGTAATTTCCAACCCCTTTTCAGTCTAGCGATGCATTTAATGATGGTGAACCCAACCTGCTGCGTTAGGAAGAGGACACGTAGCTAAACCATGAGGGACTGGCAGACTTTGAAACCAAACAGATTTAGGCAACAGAAACTTACTCCAAACCGGCGAGGCTGCGTGGTGCTCTGACAAACTCCACTCACACCAGGGCGTTGAGAGCTCAGGGAGATTGCCGGGCCACCTTTAGCGCTGGTAATCAAAGACAAGGCTGAACCGCCACCTAGCCAGCGGCTGTTGATGAGCTCTGGCCACCGTTGGTCCGTAGCTCGTCAGCCTTTCCTCTGCTGGGGGACTCGCACTGAACTCAACCCTGACCCACGGAAGAGGTCGAAAAGTAATTCACTGAAAGACCAGGACACACGAGATGGCTATAGCCCCCCAAACCCCATCTCTGCTGGCGAAGAGAAGGCTGCGAGCCACTGACTTTTCACTAGTCCACCAATAAAACCAGTGAGTGTGAAGAAATACCAGCTTTCACCTTCCGCTACACTTAGCAGGCGCCGGTCTCGCCAGCTGGCACGTCTCCCCTCCCAGCCAACCTGCCTTTGATATCCGTCAGCCTCTGGCTACAGAGACATCTGGAAGTTATTATCCAGCAGAGCGTATCACAAACCCATTTACATAATATAATATCATATTTTGTGTTCCTGCTTAGCTGAACATTTTGGATCACTCTAACGTTTGGGTAAATAAGCCACCATTCTCTGCATATAAATAACAGTGCGTCTTAGGGTACGTTTGTTGGAGATTATTAATTTTATAGGGCTCAACCCGCAAAACGAAATGCTCCAGATTCGGCACTAAAATATATTATCCTTGCTCTTGGAATAAAAAGTACCTGCGATCGGAGGAGAGGTAATAAGGCTTTTACTTCCCAAGTATCAGAATTATTTACGATTTAACCTGTGCTTTATTTATACGCCAGCCTTATTATTTTTACAGGATCTTTAACGCTTCACGCTAGACATTTTTGAGAAAAGAAATAATACTTGGCTTGCTTTGTTTCCAGTGTTGATCCCAGGGTTTAACCGAGGCAA